TGAACTTAGATTAAGAGGCTGCCAATTTTTTTACATCACTGCTAAATTTCATCCAGTAGTGTTCACTGTTGACCCCCTGGCCAAAAATTCTTGCAAAATCAAGCAGTTTTTCACCATTTTGAGCACTTCTCGAGTAATTTTAGCCATATTTGGGCCAGTATTGTCAAATGTGAACCCCCCTTGAAATTATTGAAAACTGGACCCCTAGGCAAATCCTGGCTACGGGCCTGATTTACATTAAATCTACACGTCGACGGGCTTATAAAACAAGTCGAACTTGAAGAGTTTACATAATTTGTTGCGCGCGCATCGGACTTCACGTTCAGGTTTAGGTTTTCGTCGTCTAAAAGGTGAAATCTTATCCTCTATATTATCAATATGTATGTACGGTGCATGTCCGATGAGTAAGATCATGGCCGGGATTTCAGGACACTCATCCATGGTAGGATATGGAACGATACAAATGAATTATAAATTAGTCTGTCACATTAGATGCGCCTCCCTTATTTTGTGAAATAATTTACTGTGTGGCGCTAGAGCAGAGACATAAAATAAATGTTATTATAATTGTCAATGTTTCACGATCACATTTCATTTGATATTACATCCTAGCACTATGAATAACATTTATAAATTGTCCTGATGTAAATACAATGAAAAAAAGTATTATTTATCAACAGAAATTTAAAATTCATCGCGCGGTTGCCGTGGGAAATGTGACTGCAAAAGTATGAGAGCGCAGAAATTCTACGGCGAGCGTAGAAAAGCTACTGGCCGCAGAAATGATAGACCGCACGGCGGCCGTACGTGGGAAATGTGACTGGGGTGTTAGTCTCTAACACGCTTACGTATACGCTTACAGGTTCTCTTAAAACCCTTATATGTCTAATGTGAGCTTTATTCTGCTCGTGCTAGAAAGAAGTCAAAATCTCACCTTCTTAATGTTTAACGTGTGAATAGGTTAAGATGCTTTTTTGAATGGTCAATGTACATGTATATCATTCATCGAGATCACCAAAGGGCGTAACATGTTTTCTTAATGGTTTATACGGTACATGTGTTCAAAAGTTGTTTGTATAAAATGCTGATATAAAATGATACCTGTGCGGAAGTTGGATGAAAAAATAAGATACTTTTATTCAAAGGTTTTATGTGTTTAACCTAACTTGTGCTACATGTCCCTTTGATTACGGTAAATACTGCAATGAGAGTCATACACACCAAACAAATGCACACGCACTCAGTTATCAAGTACAGGATGATGTCAATCTCATTCCGTTTTTATCTGATGGCTATTTCAGGAAATGCTTCATATGTGCTCCCGGCCAACAAAGATAAACTTGGATTCTGCGCTCAAAATTGTTGATCACTGAGACAAAGGTTGACACAAATCCTCAACCGTTATAGGTTTGATTTTAGCTTTAGTTGCTAATTTTAGCTCATTTATGGTAACCGGATTGTTTGCATACACATTACCCTGTAGTAGGCCCCTAAGATAAAAATCTGGGGGGGGGGGCATATTGGGGCATCGCCTGCTGTTCAATCGAATTCCAAACCCTGCACGGTATGATCTTACTTGGTCGGAACCACTGCTTATGTCCTAGAAGGTTCCCTCGACTGCTAAGAGGCTGCCCAGAATTTTACATCGCTGCTAAATATAGTTCAGTGTTCACTGTGACAGCTTTTCCCGTGTCCTCTTCAAAAACGTAAGGCTCAATTATGCCGAGCCTTGAGAGAGCAACCCAAGTTGTGCATTTTAAACATTGCAATGGCCTTGAAGCACTGGATCTAGGGGAGCTGAGCCCCAATAAACATTATTCTTTGAATTGACATTGGTATTTAGGAGAAAATGAGCTTCGTTTGAAAACTACAGATAACTACGCGGAGAACCCAAGTTTGTTTTCCAGAAAATGGAGCATGTCCTGAAAAACCATCAAATGAAAATGGAATTAAGGAGATTGATATTTCACACTTTAATGTAATGTCATGCATTGACTAATGTACATTTGAGCCAAAGATGAACCTGATCATGGCATTAGTGGGGAAGTTAGAGGAAAAAACAACGGTCCAATTTTTTCTGGTCACCCTGTATTGTTCCAAACTAGCACCTTGAAATGGCATGTTGGGAAAGTAAACTCTATGTTCATGATGTTTATTCAAAGATTTTCATGTTGGCCGCTATTCATCAAAACATGTTTTGTTCGGTGGGATTTGCTACTCCATGGAGTTGCTGTTTTTCTAGTAAACATTGGGTCGGATGTTCCCATCCCTGCTTACAATTGGATTATCATAATCTCTAAGCACTTAAGAATCAGATATTGGCTAAGCCATTCACTTTATTAACCCAACGAACGAACTTCGGTAGGGATATAGTGAAGCCCTCCGTCCGTCATTCAGTCCGTCCGTCCGTCCGGAAGATAACTCAAATACTCTAGTAGACGGATTTTCTTTTTCAAGATGGCCGCCGCTTTAAAAATGACGGGACTTTTTCGCAAAAATCATAAATTTTTCATTCGAAACCAAAGTAATTAATATTATTGTTTGAAATTTTGGTAGTATATTCACAACATTTATCTATTTCACATATATTCTGTGTTTTTCATCCTGACCCCCAGGGGCCGCGTATGGGGGTCAGGGATTTTCGCTAATTTTTTGATCTTTCTGAAGTATAGCTTTATTATACTCAAATGAAAGACAATTAAGAGTAGATTGCAAATATTGTATCTTTTTTTCTGATTCGAGCTTCGTAAAAGTCAAAATGGCCGTCTAATGTACAATTTCGCAATAATTTTTCGATCCCTTCAAAGTATGGCTATATTATACTCAAATTGAAGGAATTTTGGAGTAGATCACAATTATGGTATTATTTTTCAGATTTGTACCTCAGAAAAATTCAAAATGGCTGCTTTGCAGGAGTTCACAATTCTAAAATCTAATTTTTTCAATTTTAACCAAAGTAATGAGTATAATTGATTGGAATTCGGTAATTGATATTTTGTCTGTTGGGATTTGCTACTCCGCAGAGTTGCCGTTATCTAGTTTCCCACCTCTGAAATGCAGCTGTCATATTTAGATTTCTTCTTTAGCAGAGCTCCTATGTCCCAAGGCATCAGCATGTACAATTTAATCCATATCCGACAACTGGTACTTGAGATATCAAGTATTACATGTTTAATGAAAAATGGCGGATATTTCATTAAATAGCAGCCACCTTGAAAATTTCTTCTCAAGCAGATCAACTGGTATTTGAGTTATCAAATGTTACGTATTTTATGAAAAATGGAGGCATTTTGAAATTAAACTGCCATCTTGAAAAATTCTCGAGCAGAGCTCCTATGTCCCTAGGCATCAGCATGTAAAATTTGAATCAAATCCATTCAATGGTACTTGAGTTATCAAAGATAAAGTTTTTTACGAAAAATGGCCGCCATTTTGAAAATGGTGGCCGTCTTGAAAATGTCTTCTTGAACAAGGCTCCTTTGTACCCAGGCAACATCATATAAAATTTGAAGCAAATCCATCCACTAGTATTTGAGTTATTAAAGATTATATTGTTTCTGAAAAATGGCCCCCATTTTGAATAAGCGGCCACATTGAAAATTCCTAGTCGAGCAGAGATCCTACACTCCCCTCCATGAGTTTGGCAACCTTTTTTCCCCACTGAACTACGTGTTAAAGCCTCTTTACGTTTGAATTTTTATTTACTTAACCGGCGATGAAATAACTTATAATATTGATGGAAACGCAACTTGACTTTATTTCAAATACCTCCAAATGTTCTCAATTTTTTTCCTCTATTACAATAGGTCGACAATTGATGATAAATTTGATGAAGTTTTGAAAATCGTCATACCCATGTAATCCAATGGGAAATGGAGGGTTCGGGGCAAATCAGAAATCGGGATATCTTTTCAGAAAAATATTCAGCAAAAAATATTTTTATTTAGAAAATTGAATTGTCTAACTTATTTGTACATTAAGTGTTTAGTTTATTTGATGAATATTAAAGTTACAGCGCTTCAAACTCATGTTTGAAAATAATTTTTCGCCTCCTGTGTTATTTCAATGTGAGAGGTTCTTTGGAAAACAATTTTGACTTTAAAGCCCTATAACTTTGTTGAACCTGAAGAAACATATCAATTTTTTGTTAAATAAAGTTAGCAAATTCAATTGCCTGCTTAACTCGTATTTTTTGCAAGGACTTGGATGGATGGATATTCTGTCGTATGACTTGCGGCAAAGCTATCATTTCCCATTGGTTAACATGGGAATGTCGATTTTCAAAAATTCATCAAATTCATCATCAATTTTCGACCTATTCTAATTGAGGAAAAAAATGAGAAAATTTAGAGGTATTGGAATTAAAGTCAAATTACGTTTCCATCAATAGTATAAGTATTTTCATCGCAGGTTAAGTAAATAAAAACTCAAAGGTGAAGAGGCTTTAAAACGTAGTTCAATGGGGAAAAAAAGGTTGCCAAACTTATGGAGGGGAGTGTACACTCATAAGGCATAAGACTATAAAATTTGAATGAAATCTGTCAACCGGTATTTGAGTTATTGCCTGGACACACGAACAGACGGACGGCTTTTCTATATCCCCCTCAAACTTCGTTCGGTGGGATAATTACTCTATTTATTTTCTCTATTAATCTGTTATTTACACAAATGCAAATATTTCAACAAAGCTTGATTACATCTGACTAGATGAGATAACTAAAATGTATTTGAACCAACAGTTCAAACAATTTAACATCAGTTTCATTTAAATTACCATAGCAACTATAATAAATCACCTTTTGTAAGCCAAGTTGTCGTTAACAAAAACTTTGTGCATCATTTCTAAACCATTCATTGACTCATTGTCCCCATGATGTAAGTGAAAAAAGACTTGAAGAATACACTGTAAGTTAATCAGGTCCAAGCCATGGTATACATGTACACAGTGGTCTCCCTAGCATTAGAGCAAGTGGGCACAGCATCCACCTGAGATTTCAAAAACAGGCTTGTACCCACCGGAAAATCCATTTGCACCCACTAGAAAATGAAGAAAACCATGAAAAATGGACATATTTTGACCATTTTGGTCTGAGTTGTGAAAAACCAGAATTTTGCATCATCTCGACAAAAATCCTAGGGAGACTGCTGTATATAATATGTACATGTAGTCTTACAAATGTAAGTTCTTGTATCTCCACCTTTTTTCACTATTTCCAAATGACTAGAGTTAACTTCAGGTTATCTACATGTATGGCTCATAAGCAGGGATTTCATTAGAATAACTCACAACAGGGAACAATCTAAATTAAAAAATCACTGGAAACAGTTGGAATATTCCAAAAAAATATAAATAGACAATTTTGGTAAAAACAACCGAACAAAACAACTTGCACGTTGCTGCTAACAAAAGCCCTGCTGTTTCACATTTATTAAAAACCTTCATCAACTAAGTTCAAGGAGTAAGAAAGATCTTAAATTAGCGTCCTCAATTTTCATAATTTCAGCTTTTGCTTTGTCACCCCCATCTTTATAATAATCCTTGAGTTCATCTGCATAAGCAATCCACACACAATTGGCACAGCCACTCATACAACAGAATTCTGGGGGCAAAGGAGGTGGTCCCTTCCCAGGTACAACGTCATCAGTCGATAGTTTTGAGACTCCTTCATGGATATAGATTTGTAGTTCTGGTGGATCAGTATCAGGTTTTGTAGACAGCGTTTCAGGTAGTTGGCTTCTTGACAGTGTTACAATATTTTGCGTATCATCTTTAGTTGTTAATCTGGCAGTATTAAGCACTGAGGTATCGCATAATGTAGCATCTCCTTTTGAATTAGATCGTTCATAATCTTCTGCTTTACTTCTGGATTGAGCTTGTTCATTATTCTGAGATGCATCTTTTGTATTCACCTTCTGAGAGTCAATTGTGATGGCTGTCTTGATGTCGAACACAGATGGATCAATCTTATTGCACAGATTACTAACACATGAGTTGATGACTTTAGAGCACTGTAACGGTTGCTTTGCCTGAAACATAGAATTAATCAAACGATTACTCTTTAATTTCTTTGAATGTATAGAATATGCACAATGCAATTTTTGACTTACCCATAGATTACTGCGACTGTTAAAATTGTCTCTCAAGTAAATAAAAACTGTTATGGTTGAATGTGAAATCTATTTTGTTGAAAATAAAGGAGACATGAGTAGAGTGATTAACTCTAGTTTTAAGAGAATTTGTATGCAAACATGTAAAATTATGGCCTCGGGGATATTGTGTCTGGATATTCTTCTGTAACTCACACTGGCGGATCTGGGGGGGGGGGGGGGCTGGGGGCCTTGGGGCCAAAAAGAAATTTGGGCAACAAAAAGGCCTTAAGGTCCAATAAGTGGGCCTTTTCGATCATTACTGGGCCTTTTAAGGCCTTATTTTTTAATTTCAGGCCAAATTTTTAAGTAAATGGGCCTCAACATTTCAAAATTTGGGCCCACTTTTGGGTTGTAGGGGCCAAACAAATTTTCCGGAACTTTTTTTCTCTGACCTGAAATCTGGCCCCCCCCCTTGTTGGAAAAACATAACAAACTGCAGACAAATGATATTTGTATATTTCTGATTATTAAGTTTTTAGTGCAATAAGCCTCTGTCCTCTTGTAATTTAAGGTCTATGTTTTCAGAATTAACATGGAAGAGAAGCATCAGCATTTAATAGATTACAGACTTTATAAGCCAATTCACAAGCAATCCAAGATGTCATACAAATGTCTCAGTCATACATGTGCAATATGAACATATTTCTTCATATATTATTGCACAATAGTCTTTAGATTTCTTATTTTTGGGTTCAACTGGTTATTATGAAGCGGGTTAACAGACTGTAGTAGGTTTATCTACAAGTACTGCATATAGTGAGATGTGGAATATAATACAAAGAGAAATGTTAGGGTAGCATGCAGCACATATAATACAATTGTGTTGAGCCTCTAATTGGGATTCACACATGCAAGGTGTGTCAATTTCCATTATTTATATAATTTCACTGCATTATACTAGGCGGATTGGCAGCCATTATTCAAACTTGATACTCGCTTGCCTGAAGTGGAACAATTTAGTAAAAATATTTCTATTAGATTCTCTATGGACCAAGTATTTTGTTGAAAGATGGTCATAACAAATATTTTGGTAGTATTCGAGCTTACTAAGCAGTTCTAGTCTTCAAAATATCAGTCATATTGTTACAAAATTGGTCCACGCCAGGCAACAAAGTATCGAGTTTGAATAACGGTTTCAAATCCTCCTTGGCATTATATAACAAATCACACACCCAAGGTCATTTGTTGAATGGTTGTCAAGGAGACATCTTGACTCTTCAGATTGTAATTGATGCTTTGCCAACTTGACTCATGTAAAAAGTTTCACTGAAAATATGTTCTTTTAGTGATTTTGTATCATAAGGTGATTTTGCAGAAAATATTTTGCAATGTGTGAAAAGAATTTAAACATGATGCATCTTCTCACTTGATGAACTTTCTTTCCTAATTGTCAGTCATAGATTGTAACAGTAACACAAGAGGAAACTTAACAAATGCTTCATAAAAACTCAGAAGAGAGTGTCAATGAACTTTTAGAAGTCCTTATTTTTATAAAATTAGCAGGTCATAGTTCCATGTAGTAATGGGTGAAAAATGAAGCATTAATGTATGCACATGTACATTATGCAATTTTGAATTCAATCCAATTTTAAAAAATTCATGCATCATGGATGTGAAGACCCACTGGATACTGATCTACTTTAGATGTGTTTGTCAGTCACATGACAAGAATTGATTTGAATCAAAATGAGAGCCTAGCAATGAAACGTACATGTAGGTGTATTCCCCTTGGAAAGACCAGTCAGATTTCACTATGGCAGATGATGTCATTGTACACAAACTGTTATTCACACTGTGTAATATCTGGGATTTCACTGTTGCTGGAAACATGCTACATGTACATGCCAATGGAGCCATGAATCCTCTATCAACTGACTAAAACACAGATCTAATGAACATCAGTGTCACACATTCGCTTAAAATATACTCCCACACCCCCCACCGTTGGCTGAGTTAGTGAACGCAAGGAAGATAGCGCGAAAAATTTAAACCAAGATGTCCAGATTTGAAGGATGTGTTCAACATTTGCAACTCATTTTAGGTGTTCCCAAATTGAAAGGGGGGGGGGGCTGTGATTCAGTGGCGGATCCAGGGGGGGGGGGCCCATGGGTGGGCCTAGAAAAGAAAGTTGGGCCATAAAAAAATTTTGACCAAAAAAGGCTTTCAGGCTCCAAAAAGTGGGCCTTTTTGGTCATTACTGGGCCTTAAAGGCCTTATTTTTTAATTTCAGGCCATATTTTGAAGAAAATGGGCCTGAAAATTTTTTTCCCGCGCAAGTGAAGAAGTTTTTCCCTCTGACCTGAAATTTGGGCCCCCCCTTGTTGGTTCCCAGATCCGCCCCTGTGATGGGCCCATCTAACACAAAGCTGTATTTTATCTAAATAACGCCAGCTTACATGTATTTTGAGCCCCAAGATATCAATACGGAATGTTATAAAAACCCTTCGACCTTCGACCTGCACCTTCGACCTTCACCTTTGACCGACAGGGTGTCCTTGAGCTGGCATCGAATAGGATTTTAATGTCGACATGTCGGAGCTCTCGATCGACAACGATATCGACATTGTCGGGTCCAATGATATTCGAAAAATGAAAACAATTTGAAGAAAATCCGTCTGAATTTTAGATTTTCTAGGCTTGTAATTAGCAAGACGATGCACAATAGTCATCCTCAGTTGTATGTTTTATATTTAACTTACAGGTAAACCATGTTCAAGTATCAGACTTTGACGAAAAAGCAATAAATAGACATAAAACTCCAATTTCTGTTGTTATTTCCGGGCAGCCATTGAAGATAAATCTCGAGGGTAAATCTCGAGGGGCCCCGAGACCTAATTCGAGAGCAGGAAGTCGATCAAAACAAAAAAGAAAATTTGAAAATGTAGGCGGTAAAACTTCACTAAAATACACCATACAGCAGGTAGTAACAAAGATTTTAATTCATAGGGAAATAGCTTATTATGTTGTGAGTTCCGACTGTCGATCAAGAGGCGTTGTGTCGACATGGGTGTCGCAGAGAGCATTCGACTGACAATCGACCATTCTGACATTTGATGCCAGCTCTACCAAAAAGAAAATATTAAAGAAGCTATTTTTGCCGATCTCAGACCACGAAAGAGTCATATTTTCTTTCGAAACTATATAATATTTCCATTCAAGGATTTCCATATACTGCCCTGTCACGCATTTGCTGGAAAAATAGTATGATCAAATATTTTTAAAATAATTTAGTGAAATGCCGACACGATAAAAAACCGAACGGCGAAGAAAAGCGAATGCATTCCGTTCGGTCTTTGCACGCGATTGCCGTTTATGTCACGCATTTGGTACAAAGTATGTGTATATATCAACCATTTGTTTCGAAAATGCCCCCCCCCCCCCCCATTGACGGATTTGAACAGCGAGCGTCAGTTGAAGTTGAATTATTGAGTATAAAACGTCAATAAGTCAAAGGTGCAGGTCGAAGGGTTTTTATAACTTTCTTTTTGGCCCGCTTTTTGAACACCCTGTAAGTCGAAGGTGAAGGTCGAAGGTGCAGGACGAAGGGTTTTTATAACATTCCTATCAATACTGGCAACAATGGTTAAACCAGGTTTGGCCTTGTACCAAACATTGACTCGAAAATACCCGGCGGGTCAAAATATTGAAATCTTCAACTTCAACTTTATATCTGTTTTATATGGGCTTCTTTTGCAGATTATTGACATAGACAACTTCAACTTTCAAGTGAAAAAATAAAAACAAGACGAATTTTTAACGATTGAATGTCTTACCGGTTTGCCGTAGTGCAACAGCTGTATTAGATAGCACATCCGTGTGCTGGTTAGCATTAACCTCCTTATTATCATCAAAACAAAACATCTATAAATACTATATTGACTGTTTATCAAGATTTGTTGAGAATTTTTAGATTTTTCAGAATAATATGGAGGGATATCCCAAATGACGTCATATAAGTTGCCAGGATAATGGATTTCCATCGGCTTGTTAGTGCGACATCTATGAATGAATCAAAAGTTTAAATAAGATCATTGAGTCCCAATCTCGGGAAAGTCGTTGACACAGGGCGGAGGAGAACTCGAGTTTCACACTGAGTGTGTGTATGGTCTTACTTATAATTACTGATTCCAATTTATTGTAATTTTACTCTTCATTTTGCAACAGTATAATTGAACAACAATAATTTTGGGCCAAACATTTTATTTACGTAAAACGTATAAACATTACAACTAGTTAACCGCCCTTACCTTCTTCTAAGGCCACTGTATCGTGGCCTTCCAGTACAGATATATTTCTGCATGAACAACTGGTCATGTCGTAATCGTAAAATTTGAAATCATATGTCCGCCATTTTTCCACATCACAATTTGAATTGCGAGTTTTGGTCTTATTACCTCACCAAAAATTCCAAAACACACATAAAGTGATCAGTGTATTAGTTCACATCTTCTGGATTGCTAACTTAGAATTTACAGCCAGTTACTAATGTCAGACGTTAACGACATTTCGTCCAGTTTTCGAACATCGCCATTTTTCTTGGAGCCATTTTGTTTTAATTTTAGACGAAATCCTGATGAAATCATGTAATATCTCATCAAGGAACCGAGCTGGGTCCGGTTTAGTTAAGGATTTATTTATCTGGCGATTTTTAAAATATTCAATAAATTTATGACACCCCGGCATGCTTTTTTCAAATAGAGTTCACAGTATTCCAGATGAAATCCCCTCTAGCCAAGTATTGGCTAGAGACTGTAGTAAAACCGCCCAATGTGTTGCACATATTTTTTGTAAAAAGTACAAGGGTGGGAGGGCTTGGGTGAATCAAAAATTTTTTAATTACGCCTTGCGCATGGCGGAAATCACTCACATCGTAGCACATGTATAAAAAGATATCAGGTCTGTTCAATATATGTACATGTAACTGATAAGTATGGACATGTATGGATACGGGACAACCATTCTCAATCTAGACACCAATATTCTTTATCCGTGACAATTAGTAAAGAACAAGCATATGTGCTCTCACTATTTGGCTCAGTTAGTCAAGAATTACAATAGCAGTACGTAATAACCATATCAATTAAGTACAACCATAGCAGTACAGAATAACCATAGCAATCAAGGACAACCCTAGCAATAAAGAACAACGCCATTGGTCAAGAACAACCATAGCAATCAATAAAAAACATAGCAGTCAAGGACAACCATAGCAATCATAGACAACCATAACCATCAATAATAACCGTAGCAGTCAAGAACAACCACAGCAATCAAGAACAACAATAGCAGTCAAGGATAACAATAGCAATAAAGAACAACGACATTGGTCAAGAACAACCGTAGCAGTCAAGGACAACAATAGCAATCAAGGACAAGCATAGGAGTCAAGAACAACCATAGCCAGCTGTAGACAACATTTCTCTTTGTTGGCGCAATCGGTCAAGAACAACCAATGGCACAATTTTGCACAATTAGTCGAGATCAAAATTAGGCAATCATTTCTATTTGGCAAAATCTGACAGAAAAAGCATGAAAAAACACATCTTTATTAATTAAACAAATCAGACAAACAAAATAAGATCTTTTTGGCATTTGAAATGAAGACCAATCCTACGGGACATAATAAGTCAGGTATAATCAAAATTAATATTCAATTAAAGTTACTTGATATTATGTTTAAATTGGTGTAACACATGGGACATACAACGAAAATTGAAAAAGTTATCAGGAATCCGAAAAGAAAATCTAGTTGAAAGCCCATGGTTGCGGCTACTATGTAGTTTATCATCCTAAATCATTTTTTTTTATTTTTTTATTAATCATCTTTATTATATTCCATAAAATACAGCTGTACAAACTTAAACAATTGCCAAAGTCTAGTGACATTTTGAGTGAAATCCAAAGGAATGTTATTAAATTTTTACATAATAAGTTATTTTTATGTCATGTTATTGTTAAAATAGATGAAAGAAAAAGTCAATAAAATATCATCACACTACACTCGTATATCACAAAGATGTGTGAGGTTTTTTCCCTTGGCCAGAGGGATTTCAGTTGTAACATGTTGTAATCGATTACATGTCCAAAAGATCTAGACCCTGGTGGATATAATATGCTACTATGTTCATTAGTTTCTCATTGACATCTACTGGAAATTTATTATCTCCAAAAAGTAAGTCCATCATAGTGGGTACGGATCCCTATCGTCTCCAGTCCTGCAAGTAGTGTTGTTCTCTGTTCTGTCAGCAGAGGGCATTTCAACAGGAAATGTAAAGTTGTCTGGTTTATATTGTCACATAAACATTTAGGATTAGCAACCCGTTCAAAGTTGTGTGCATGGAGGTGAGCTTGCAAGAGAAGTCCGGACCTGAGTCGGTTTAGAGGAATTTCTAGGTAGCGAGGCATGGCATTTTTTAGTTTTGACGTTGATAGGGTAGAAGCATGGCTTCCATCGCCTCTTACTATTCTTTTAAATCTTGAAATTGGCTGACCAATTCTATAATCTGGTGGAAGGTTATTCCAAAGGGCCATACCTTTAAAATTTGTAGATTTCTTAGCCAAAGCGCTTGTTTGAAGGGGAATCTTATAGTCCCTGTGGCTCCTTAATGAGCGCACTTGTATATCATTCTCATAGGACCTGACAAGATTACAAATGAAAGGAGGAAAGTTATTATATCTTGCTTTAAAAATAAATATTTTGAGATGTTCCTCTCTTCTAGAGGATAAAGTTTTCCAGTTTATTGATGAGAGAACTTTATTAGTGTTCGAGCCATGGATTGCTCCAGAGACTAGACATGCTGCTCTATAATGTAACCGTTCAAGAGATTGCAATTTGGTATCTGATGCACTATTGTATATGATGTCACAATAGTCAAAATGAGGGAGTATGTACGCATTATATAAAGTTTCAAGGTGCTTGCTTGACAAGATCTTGCAGAGTTTCTTCATGGGCCTCATCAGGCTTATTACTTTGTTAATTAATTGATCAATGTGAGCGTTGAAGTTTAGGTGCTGGTCAAGAGTAAGTCCGAGGTGTTTATGAGTATTACATCTAGGGACTATTTCCCCGTTCATTTTCAGAGGAGGAGGTTCAATATTAATGTTTCTATGTCCAGTGAATATCAAATCAGCGCTTTTCTGTGCTTTAAATAACATTTTCCAAGTTGCAGCCCAATGGTCTAAGTGGTCCAAATCACTTTGAATGGGCTCATGAATATCGAGAAATATTTCATTTACATCAAAAGGATTATGGAGTGAGGTGTCATCCGCGAATATGAATGTCTTTGAAACAAGACCATCCGGTAAGTCGTTGATATATATCAAAAATAGGAGGGGTCCCAATACTGAACCCTGAGGAACTCCTGCGTTAATTTTATAATTCTTGATCTGAGGGTTGTTATTATGTATTTGTGTATCTGATTCTTGAGCATCTATATGTTGAACAGAGGACCATTCTGATAAGTTATTATTGACCCTGACTCTGATACGCCTATCACTTAAGTATGATTTAATGAGATTAATAAAATTGTTGTTACAACCATAGCCTTTTAATTTAGTTATCAATAAGTTGTGCGGGACCACGTCAAAAGCTGAACTCAGGTCCAAGAAGATTGAGCGTATATGCTCTTTATTATCAATATGTTGATGAAGATCATGTACAATATTTATTAGTTGATTTGTTGTTCCATGTTTAGGTATATATTTATACAAGAGATTGTGCTCGAGAAGATGAGAAAGCAAATGTCTATGAATAATGCGTTCGAAAACTTTAGACAAAGTACTTAGGAGAGTTACAGGTCTATAATTGGAGGCAATGGTTGAGTCACCTTTTTTGTAAATTGGAATAACTATTCCCTCCTTCCAAATATCTGGAAAAATATTCTTGTCAAGTATTCTATTAAATAGATTGCTTACTGGTAATGAAAAAGAGCTGGCACATATTTTTAACATCTTGTTTGAGATTTCATCAGGACCAGGAGATTTATGTACATCCAACTCGTTAAGTAGTTCAAAGACCTCTTGTTGTGAAGTTCTGAAGTTTTGGAGTATTTGATTGGTTCTGCTTGGAAAAATAGGTGTAAGATTTGCATTATTTTCAATCAGATTTTTCTGTACAAAGTATTTCATGAGCATATTAGATTTGTCCAAGCTGGAGCATGCAGGAATGTCATTATTAGGCAGGTATAAAACTGGAATGGAAGAAATACTGTTTTTACCTAACAAGTCTTTGATGAGTGTCCAATAATTAATTGAATTTTTATCACAATTTTCAATTTTGAAAGTAACATTAGATAAGTAGTCACTTTTAGCTGTTTCTATTAATTCTTTGACTTTGCGACTTTGGGTTACATACTTTTCTTTATATGTTGCATTGTCAGTGGACTTGAATTTGTGATGAAGCCTATTTCTTTTATAAATCTCATTTTTAATGGAACTATTGAACCATGGTTGGTCATCAAATCTTGTTGAACGAATATTATTTTTAACATTTGATTTGATAATAGTAAGAAAATTTTTCACAAGTTTTGTGGTATGAGTACCGTAATCCAACACCAAATTCGAAAATTCATAACAATACTTTGCACATATGGCGTTCGTGACCAACTATAAAACGCTTACCCCCCATAGTGTTATATATCAAAATGTACCTGTTCATATAGGGGTTCGATTGATCTACATCAAATTATAGGGAGTCAGGTTACTTTTTGAGATATCAGCGTCCATTTATTGTGACTCGCGTTTGCTACCACTTCCTCAATTCTGATATGATGGGCAAACGCGTAATAAACATGCTCACGTCGGAACTATTTTTGACCTACATCGCTATTTTCGTAATTCAAATGAAAGTTGAACTCCTCCTCTTTATTTTGATACCAAATAGTGGCATACTAGGTACCCTAGAAGCCAACTATGGCGTTATTTAGAACAAAACCACAAGTTTTTAAATGGACTATATAGGGGTCATACCTTTTGGCGGATGGATATGGAACCTCATACCTTGTAGTGCCTTCGTTAACAGAATCAGTTCCAATAAAACTCCAGTCAAAATCCCTTATCTTTGAATTTAAAAAGTCGGCATTCACATCTTTGAAGTAGAAAATTGTTTTTTTAATTGAAGGTTCGCGTGGAACTTTAACACTAAATTGAGATATAATAGAACAGTGGTCAGAATTACCAATTGGAGGATCGATTTTAAAAGAAACGAGATGCTCAGAATCAGATACTAACAAGTCGATGCATGATTTGGAGTTGCCAGCGATTCTAGTAGGCTCATTAACAAGTTGCGATAGACCAAGATCAGTGAGCAGTTTTTTCAGTTCAGTACCAGCAAGATTATTATGGTCATCAGTATACCAGGCATCATTTCTCGCGTTGAAATCTCCATTGAGAAAAACACCATTATTGGGTTCAATGAGCACTTGTTCTAAATTCAATTTGAGTTTTGAAAAATAATTTCTAGTTTCGTTCGCTGTCATTGATGGTGATCTATAAAAGAATCCATACAAAATTTTTTTGAAATTCACCCGGATTTCTACCCAACAGTTAGCGAGTTCGTCGTTCACATGCTGATCACATATTTTAGTCTCAATAGAGTCATGGCTCCATAGTAAAAGACCTCGACCCTTGTTATTTGAGTACTTTGGCTTGCCATATTCATTGATATTAAAAATGTTCGAACACAGATTATCATTGGATATGTGGCCAGTCTCACAGAGTGCTATTAAATGAAAATTTTCTTGTTTTGCATAGTTTTTAAGGAAATCCAGCCGTGTAAGTGAGTCAGCTTTAATGCTGTTGACATTACTAAACAAAATTTTCAAATCATTACTTGGGCCAGGATTACTTTCCACATCACCGCATAGCGTAATCAAGTAGTAACATAAATGGCTTGGATTGTGGATAAACAATGATGATCCAGGAATACAGCACAAAGCCATCACAACAGTGGTAAGTTTCAAAATAATTAGGACGCAGTTCGAATGTAGAAGAAGGATTGATCTGGTGACCAGAATAAGTGTAAACAGTTTCACAAGAATATACAAAACTTGACACACAAAAATGATGGCAAGTGCAATGAATTTCAAACAACAAATCATCCTAAATCATCATGTGATAATCATGGTTAATCATCATATAGTTGACAGCTACAGAACTTAAATCATTCTGGATAAAATGTTTAACTTCCTGGTCGGGAATTAAATACGGGTTTGAAATTCATATGTGCCCTCGGTATAACCCCCATATATACTAGTATACTTCTATGTCTCGTAAGAAAATTCTATTTACATAATATTAAAAATATTATTAATGATATGATCATGAAATACCGATACAAAAATTTCAGTATTGATATGAATTTAACGTTTTTGCCTTTGTTGTCCTGAATTAACTTGGCTTATTTCATAAATTGATATTATCTACATACCATTTTAAAATTACACGACTGTCTTGTTTTCAACACATTTTTGAATAATATTAATATGAGCTACTAATATATTCCTACCCACCAGTCTTTAACAATATGTTCAGGTTTAGTGACAAATATCACTTTTTTTTATATATATATATACTGTAGATATTTATTTCTCCTTTCTAGATAACATATTAACATAACATATTCTACATAGGAATTATCAAATGTATAGAAATTTTCTTGATAGTAGTCTTAAAACTTCAAGCTTAATAAGTGAAATAATGTTATTCCTCAAAAACTACTGGAATTCCAGATAGATAGAGTTCTCAAAATTTTCACAGTCTTAACTCAACCATTTTTGACAAGAATCATTTGCATCCCTTCATCTGGATCACTACTTGCAAATATGTCCCTATTTAGTCCAATTAACATTTAAATCAATCAATAGTACTTGGCACAATTTGTTATATATGTTCACGTTCCTATTTCCGTATTATTCCGTTCATATTCATCCTTTTGTAGTCATGTACATCACAAAATTACATATAATCCTCTCCGATCTTATCAATGAAGCGCATATACCTCCCTTCACATGTTGCCATACTGAAGTTTGTTAGCGCTGCAACATCGCATGTCGTATCAGAATCTGTGTTTGTTTATTTGGTATCTTTATCAATTTTGCACTCAGTTGATTTGTTGTCCATCTGTTTCTTAATATTTACATTGCAGCCTCTATGTTTTCTGTCCATACTGTCTGTTTTAGTTGCGACATGTTTCATCTTAAGTTCTGTTGCACAAGACTGGTGTCTCTTCACTTTATTATCCGTTTGTGTACTTGTGTTTACTTTGTTGATTCTGTCCTGGGGAGTCTGTAATAATGAGGTAAATCCACTGTCTTCTGTATTTGGTGAATTCTCTGTATCAGTGTTATTGTTTACAATTTGACTGTTATCAGTATTGATAAACACATCATCACTATATGTATTTTGACCAGGTTTCACAGGTGTTGACTGTTCATGTAATCCTATGTGTTCATGGCTTGGAACACTACTCACTATTTTTTTACTGGCATTGAAAGCACTAATCCTATTTGTGTCTCTCATTAGCCTACTTGGTGATTTGCTTCTAGTTTCTGAACTTGGGTCACCAAGATGGTGTACTACATATTGCAATGTGATAGATGTTCCATTGTTTGTTGCATTTATCTTATATCCTCCGAGGATGCACCCTTCTTCTTGTAGTTCACTGATCAGATGCTCCACTATCTTAGGAATCATTGTATCTCAATATATTTCTTATAATGTTCTTTATTTCACTGATTTTTACTATATTTTACGAGCAAATCTTTTCCTGCTTTTCGGTTTACCACTTGAAATTTATCACTTTAAGTGTTCTTGCCCATCATCATCACGACACCTGTCAATAAATTACATTTACAAATAAGCATAGGGGAAGTACATGAGACATTACATTAAATTGTGCGAATTAGATTAACAATGCGCTTTATACAAAAGTTCAACTATCTTGACATATTTATCATTCTTCGAAATTAACTTGGTCCCTACTAATTCTTCTAAGAATTATAGGTCAGTTAACGGTACATGCTATATTTGTTTTTAATGGGCGTTCTTGGAATAAGTGGAGTACTTTTATGAACGAGGCATATTTGTAGAATTAATTGGATTGTCTTGGAACTACTTGTTGCTGTACTAAAAAATCCATACACCACACCAAATAAGGAAAGAAGATCAGAGGCGGGATGTTTTATCATCTATACGGCTGTTAGTTAATAGCCTTTATTGTGCCCGAGCAATTAGCTTCATGGGCTCTTATCCGTTGCATCTGATTTCTTTATCCGCTCATGATCAAAATTGTTTGAAGTGTATATATCTTGTTCAAGGTAAACATCCAATTCACTTCGATGTTGTCCTCTTGCATGGATCATTGTATTGTGTGTATCTGACTCAGTCGACTCCATTGGCGTATTATTCTTTGACGTGTTGCTATATGTTGTAATTGATTCAGATGGCACCTTACTGTGAACAGCTTCAGCATCTAGAGGAATATACAGTTTTACTTGCAATTTTCTTCACTCTATAGCGCAAATTTAGCAAAAATTCATTAACTTAAGAAAAAATACTAAATGAATCCGTGTGATAACCTTGAAGTTGAGTTATCGATGTTCTCAAGAAATGTGACTCACCTTTTGTATTAGCTTGTGGCCTATTGGCCTTCTCCACTCGACCTTCGTCGGGAGTTTTCACCAAACGTGGGAGTCCTTCCTTGGATGTTTTGTTATTGGTAGTCAGTTTGGGAGTTCTTTCATTATTTGATGCTCGAGCTCTTGCCAAACATTTGCTGTTATTAGAAAGTGTTTTGGGTAGTTGCCCAGGATGACGCGGTTCTGGAGCAAGATCTCTCTGAAAATGCTGGTCAGAATAAACTTGGTGTGGAGCAATATCTATAAGCTGTATGGGAAAATTGTCAGCTGGTTGGATACTGTCAAGGAAAAGGTTTTGTTCGACCAAACTTTCCAACTCACTTTTGAACGAGGTTCTATTTTGTTCAGCAGCAAGCTGTCCAAGAGAGATGTCGTCAAGTGAAGAAGGTTGTTTTGGGGAAAGCGTATCTTGACAAAAATCTGCAGGATAAATATCATCAACGTTTTCGTGATTGAGCTGTCCTTGAACAATCAGTTCATGTTGCTCAAGTTCTCCTTTAGTGATTTGTTCAGGGGGAGGTTGTCCAGGAGGATTTATTTGTCTTATGGTGAGTTTGGGAGGAAGGGATCCAGGACCAATATTCCAAGCATATTCTACTGGAGTACGCTGTCCAGGAACAAGTACTTCGGAAAGGTAAGGTTGTCTTTGATTACCTTTTCTCGCAAAAGCTTCTTCTACCTCTGCAAGTAATTCACCTGGTCTGATATGTTCAGTACAAGTTCTTTGGGAGGATCGAGCGTTTCAGGAGTCGAATGTTGTCTCGGGGGAGTTTGGCCAGGACCAATTAGTTCAAAAGCAGGTTCCTCAGAAGTAGAAAACTCTCCACGAGGGTCAGTTTGTCTAGGAACAGGTTCTCCAGGAGAGTGTTCTCCCGGAAAGTATTGTCTAAGGACTATTTGTTCTTCGGGAGAATGAAGTTGTCTTCGAGGAAATTCTCCATGAGCAATCTGTACAGATGAAAGTTTTTCAGGAGTAGTTTGTTTATTTATAAGTTCTCCAGGAAGGTCTTCGAGAGCAGATCGTCCCGATGAAAGTTCTCCGTGTGCAAGACGTTTGGAAGATAGTTCTTCAAGTTGTATTGGAGTAAGTTGTCCAATAGGAACATGCAAAGGCTGCTTTTCCGCAGCTAGTTTTCCAAATACCACGTGCCCTTCCGATATGGTAGATGGTTTATACCGTAGAGCCAAGATTATAGCAGCCTGGTTATTAAAGGATTTCGGAAGTCCTTCGTGTTCATGATCCAGCGTTTCACAAATTCTTATTATGTCAACATGTCCACTTTCTATTTTTATTGCATCAAGTTTAGCCAGCTTGCTTTCCTTGGTAGCAATTGAATTGCGGAGACATTCCTCATCTATTTCCGTGTTTTGATGCTTAGTAATGCTCTTAATTATGGAGTTGAATGCTTCTTTGATCGCTTCTTCTACGCTGAGCCTGTCTGCATGTACTTGTTTGAGCAAATCCTTTTCCACCTCCAAGATGTCAGCCCTTTTTCTTAGCATCTTAACACTGGCTTCGATCTTTGTCCTTAGTTTCATCTCATGAAGTTCTGCACCTTGTGCAATTTCAATGTAGTTGTGTCCAAAATGATGTTTTACTAAGCATTCGTAACACAAAATGCTATTGTCCGTTTTACAAAACAGTTTCAGTGGCTCATCAGGGTGTTTCTCACAAATTTTTGTTTTAGTTTTGGAGCCCGCATCACGTTTCTTTTTTATGTTTAGTAGCTGGTTCATTAGCCGGTGTGTTTTTAGTTCTGTTGGTCCATTTGGTGGCACTTCCCAAATGTCACGGCATACTGGGCATGGTATGCGTCTACTCGGCGCATTTGTTTCTACTACCTTCTCAATACACTTCAAACAGAAAGTATGTTGACAAGGTAAATCCTTTGGATCGATCATATCCTCCTTACAAATTATACACTCAATACAGCCAATGATTTCCTCTGTCATGGACGGAAATGCCTGTGCCATTGTAACTTGCAAATTGCTATATGTTTTCAACCTTTTAAAACGTTTGCTTCTCGCTGTTTTCTAGTTAAAATTGTTTGATATCTTGTGATTTATATTAATTGAGCTTAAAATGATTTCACTAGAAAGAGTCATAAATTATTGCACGCGTGCAGCAAGGCTGTTTTCACATTTCTTAAAAATCAGTTAAATATCACTTGACACCTAGCTTCACCGACTTGTTAACCTTTGGCCACGATGAAACTTTGAAAATGGCGTTATAGTGACCTTATAGTTAGACTGCTATTTCAATAACGCCGTCCAAGTATTGCAAAAACGTAATGAAAAATCCATGGACCCGGAAATAAAAAGTGATTGCGTTTTGTGGACGCAGTGCAAGCCATACTCATACAATCAACTTTGGATGAATGATTTGATAAAGATCTTACCTTCAGTCTCTTTATTTCGTCAGAATCCAATAAATAATTGAAGAAAATTCTATTTCTAAAAGAAATAAAATTTTCTTTCGAAATTTCCTTCCCGGAAGTTGATTTCTGATCGAAATAGTACGAGGCATGTGATAGGACAAAAATTTATACAATACTCGATTTCCGAGCAGTAATCAGTATGAGTCCTACGATTGGCCGGTAGCTTAAGACCTGATTCAAACCATTTTCAATTGGTCAAGTGTGATCACGTGATCATTATTTGAGACTGCATATGCGCAAGAAACTGAACTAAAAAGTTGAACCTCGCGCAGATTGCCCCTAAACTAAACATGCTAAAGCAAAATCAATAGCAAATTGTTTCGAAATTCGCAAGGAAAAGGTGTTTTAAATGGGAGAATATAAGTTATGATGGTATCTGTATCATTCAATGACATACTAGACTTGCAAGAACGCTGATTCAGACCGATAAATAGCAAAAGCAGTGGTACAAAATTTCATCAATTTATTTCATCCAGTGTAAAAACGTGACTTTTGAATTCCCGGGAACATTTTTTCAAGGGACGCAGTTTTTTGAAGGGAGACGCATTTTTTGAAAATCATTACGTCCAAGGGACGCAATTTTGGACAAGCCTACTGAAAACACTGTTAGAGCAATGAGAGCTTTAGTTAGTGGCCAAAAACAAGGTATGCATACCGACCGAACTTTAGGTTTTTATTCATTTTAAAAATTCAGTTGTAAGAGCAACGATAATCTAATTTATGAAATCATAAAATGCCCAAAATGAACATGATTTAAGGTTTTTGAAGGTTTTGTACCAGATAACGGGGTTCACAATTGAATCTTATAAATCATATTGGATATCATGAACTTGATATTAGTGTGTATTATTTATGTTACTTTGAATTGTCATTAGTTAGAAACATACCCTGTCTGACATAAATCGTGTGCTTTAGTATATCATGCATCTAAGTCAAATAAATGTTGTTTGACAAATCTCGAATCATACTTCGAGTTAAAAAGAGCAGATATAAAATAATCATATCATGATCTGTATCTTTCAAAGTTTGTTTTGTTTGCCCAAAGGAAATTTTGTTTGATTTTGAATATGAAAGTAATTTTCGTAAAAGAGTTTATAACATACTATTAGTATTTGAAATGGCTATTATATATGGGCCAATTTACGATAATTGATATTTCAAAAAAACACAAAATTCGAAAATTAAAATATTCATATGGCGATGATTTTTTCTTGAATTGCAAAGGAAACACATCATTTTTTCTAAATTCGTAAGCGGCACCATTTACACTATATTGGCATTTCGTGACCTGAGCAATTTTCAAAGAAGTGAAAAATTAACATGTTTTTGTTAATCGTTCAATAAGTCTTATTTAATTTCAAACTAATAAGATATTATTTATCGCATTTTCGTGTTGTAATTTTTCCCGCGCCTTCACCCGTCACGCTTAATTTGGAAAGTTACACACCAAGTGATTATGTCCATCTGACAAACAAAGAGTTTTGTGTCTAAGCTAGATAATGAAGTCAAGTCTCAGTTGTGAGTTCGTGCGATTTTGAACGATTTCTTATTTTTGGGCTCAAAATCTGCTCCTCTTTACATGAATTGGACAATTTAGATAGAAAACTGGAATTATTGGGCATTGTTTTTCATTTTGGGCATCATTTTTTAAATTTGGACTCAACATTTATTTCGTTTGCAACCCTCTGAATTTTCAGGGTCGTCCCATGTGTTGGCTTAGCTTGGAAAATCCTTTATGTGTGGCAAGGGGATGCACCGAAAATCCTCGTTTTTTCATGACCAGTTCAAAGATTTCAATGTTTTCCCATTGGATAGCATTAGAGCATTTATTTGTTGAATTGTCCCGGATGCTGTTCAGGGTGTATTCACTGGTCAAGGCTAACTTTTTGTGGAAGGTATCAAATATAGCGTTTATCCCAAGGGAACTATTTGTCTCCACAATGATAAGGTATACGTACAAGGACTAAAGTAATGAAGTATATAGTGTATTAGGCATAAGTGGTGCGAGTTTAAGGCCGGATGAATAAAAAGCCCTGGCCTATATTCAAAGCAACATTCTTTGTTTTGATCATATTCAACTAAAACATGCAATAATTATTGAATTTCTACAAGATTCCTTTAGATCCATATTCTGATTGATAACAATACACTTACTGGAACTAATGAGAGGACAGAAATCAATCACTGGTTGTCCACAGGGCCCACTCTCTGGAATAATCCCTTATTTAGGATAGAGGATTGCAATGTGCGGGATCGCAATAATTACTAAAGTCTATATAGTACATATTTCAATAAATCAAAGGACAAACGAGGTCTACCGTCGACGGGAACTTAAAGGAAACAGCTTAAAGTTAGTTTTTTAAAAACGCATATGGAATAATGCATACGAAACCATCATTTTTATTACCATTCAAATATCGAAATTGCCGCAGCTGAATTCAATGAACGGAGAAAACCATCATTGTGTTTTAAAAATCCTTCAATAATACAGGAGAATATGAATAGGAGCGCAAATGATTCTAATAACCATAAGACATCTCCGTTTGTCCATACAGGAGTAGAATGGAACAACAAATGCAAATTACCAAAACAGCGTCCTTTGACGGATAAAGAACTGGACGAGAGAATAATGGATGTCACACCATTATTCAAAGAGATGAGTGACTGCAGATATCTCAGGAACTCCGCAAGAGATCAACAGATCATACAAAAACTTTGGAAGTTGAAGGTGCAAAGCATGGAAGCGTCAGAGTAGAAATTGTGCAGATTTCACCCTTGACTCGTTACATATTTGTCCCGAAATGTCCAACGCAATTCATGTATATATTGAATATGTAATGTGTGTATACGACCAAATAAGGTGCAACATTAGGTTTTGCGCATATAAGGAACACCATACTGCCACTTAGATTTGCCATTCGGAAATGAACACATAATGAGTATTTTGTTCAATATTGCATTTAGTTTTGAAAAAAATACACATCAGCCGGGCGCCTGTGTTGAAGATCGGAGCAAAAGCCAGGCATTAAGAGTATCTATAAAGCGTGCACAACGGGGGAGGTTTATATCAACACCGAGGATATGCATGCTTAATGAGAATGGGAATCCTTAAACTGATCATGAACATCATGGACTGCAAAAATATGAAATATTAACAGCAATATCTCAAACCTTTACAAAGTTTTGTGAAGAAGAAACGGCGGATGGCATAGCTGATAAATCCAATTACTGTAGCTCGCAGGCATTTCATTTATCCTGCAGTGAATTAATTAATTTATAAATTGATTCTTTCATTAAGTATTTATGTGGATCAACATTATTGCATTAAGAGTGGATCTTCAAAACCGATTCAATAAGATGACTGGAACATGTTACTTTGATTAACTAATTAATTGTTAAGGATTTATGTTAAACACGGCAGAATATACATGCACTTCTATTTTGAAAATTGACGATATTATGTAAGATATTTGCATTGTCAATGCCATGTGATCACTATAAGTATTGGAATCTTATATATATGATTATTCACGAATGAATTGGAATATTTCCATTGTCGACTTAAAAATTGGGATTGATATTCGGATTACGTAATAAGTTTCTTTTTCGGTTTGAGACAAATCTGTACACTATTTTGGAATGAAAGTCATGCAAAGTTATGTTTAGAAGATTCGAGTTATTTCACTTTAGTAATTCATTACTCCAATGGAAATCAAAATGTTATGGTCTACAAGTTTTTAAACTTTTAAAGTCCTGCCTTTTGGAACGTCAAGTTAGAGTTACACTATCTGGTGAATCTTTAACTGTGTCAGAACCTAATGCAAAGTGGTGAACCCCAGGGGTCGATTCTTGGCCCCCTGCTGTTTCTCATCTACATAAATGATATCCCTGACAACTTAAAAACTGACTGTTTCATTTATGCAGACGACACATCTTTGTTCTTTCCATTTAGTTCGAAATTCCCCTCTAAAATTGACACGAATGTCTCAGATGCGTTAAAGAAATTGGGCTTTGATCACTCAGGTGGAAACTTGAGTTTTAGCCTGAAAAAAGCAGGGACCATTTTTCACAACTCAAGAATAAAATTAGGACGTGGGAATGAGTCAGTAATGAACAATACAATACAAATCTTCTCATAAACATTTAGTACACATTTGACCAACATATGAATAATGAATCACATATAATTGCAATACGACACGGAGTGAATGAATTACTAATCCTTTAAGGACCCTGCAAAAAAGTTTAAGCTCTTAATCACTTGAGTCAATATTACATTCACTCATATTACCACATTTTGATTATGGATCTGTAATTCTTAGCTCATCATCACAACATCTTTTGAACATATTTGATCGATGTTTCTACCAAGCATCCTTGATTTGTAGTTGATGGATTCATGGTTGTAATACTTCTATGGTTTTGGACCATTTATCCCGGCTCTCTCTTGAGACAAAGCGAGAAATGTAAATTTCACAATTTATGTAAAGAGTCAAACATAAACTGTGTCTAAAATATATTCCGATATTTTTGAAG